GCCGTGTGCTCGCAAGACGACGCCCATACGATAATTCACGACAACAGACTTGTTTTCACTCACTCCACTTTATTCCACGTAAAACACAAAAGCACCGAACTTCACTTGGCCCCGTACGATATAACTTTCAAAATAGATGAAAATGAAAACAAGAAATTACAAGAGCAAATAAAATGGATCGAATCCCAAACCTCGTTCAAACACACATCACACTACTCTCTTGCCATCCTAATAATTGTAATAACCGCCATTGCCTTCTTTATATTTTTCCAAAAACAAAAACAACACGTGAGAATAATTAAAAATATACAAAAAGAAGGAATCCCATTACAAGAGATCGTAGTACTTGAAGGGGCTGACGGAATAGGAAGAGCAAGACGCTTGATCAGTGACTCCTAAAGCACCCCCCCCCCTTTTTCCTTTCTCACCTCTCTTCCTCTAACCAAAACAAAACCAGTAAATTCACCCGCCCTTAGCACCAACCGATGTTTCGACCGCCAGTCATAGTAAAAAAAGCAAATTACCATTAAAACAAACAAAAAAAAAGGATATTAAAAACAGAAATTCTTACCTGATTCAAAAAAATAAAACTATAACCTAACACTACGACGAAAAACTATAAACTAACACTAAAAACTAAAAAAAACCGAGGCACCATTGGGTACGCGATTACCATTGGGTGGGCGGTGGAAGGTGTGGTACCTCAAGGAGCCATACGAAAAGTTCTTCCTGGTCCCCGGTTTCCCATTCAACTATAAATGGTAACAGTTCGCGGCCAACCCGCCCATCCCTATTAGGATCACCGCCCGCTCGGCCGTACTGAACTTCCCGTACAAAGCGGTCTAAAAGTCCGTGACACATCTCCTCAAGATGCCACCCGAACTGATAACGCGGCCCGTCGCGCAAGTAATACACTGCAACACCATCTTCGTAGGGTTTTATCACGCACGGACTACACCATAAAACGGCCTCGCGGAGCACCGTCAGTACCTCCGCCCACCCCCGCCCAGTTCCTCGAAAATCGGCTGGAAACATTGTTTTGAAACTAGCTACGGAACTAGGGGCAAGGGACTAGCTAGGGGCAAGGGACACGAGCGTTACAAAAACATAGAATTCCCGAGTAGTATCCGGCTTCCCCCGTTGACTTGGTCCACTGAGCGACACGAAAAAAATCCTTATATCGTAAATAATCAATTAATAATTAAAATCAATATCTAAAGCTTATCACGAAAGTGAGCTATGGATAAAAGGGATAACCTTTAAAAAAAAAAGAGAGAAAGAAAATAAATCGAAAAATATAAACAAGAGCACCGTGTGTATTAACACAAAACATAACACACAATTTTTCACACTGGGCCAATTTTTTTTTCTCATCGAAGATCAGGGCTCCCACGCAAAAGCAGGTAAACAGCCTCGGGACAGCCCGCGTCCGGTGGGCCGAGACGGCGGCTGAGACATTCCGTAGGCACGGGCCAAAACCCGGGGGTCCCGGCTAGAGGCGGAAACGACAAAGGGGGGCGGCGGATTCGCGCTGGACCCCCCTGGCCTGGCCTGGACGACTGGATCAGATGGTGGTAGAGGCCATGCAGTGGTCGGTTTCCGCAACGGGACCAAGAGGTGATAACTAATAGGCTCTGCTCCACTGGTAGCAACAACAATGATATATTCACAATTAGGACAGGAAACACACTTAGGAGGAACGAAGGGCTCTGCTCCACTGGGAGCAACAACAATGAGATGCCTGCAACTGAGACAGGTAACGCACTTCCTGCTAGGGTCCATTTTACATGAGTCCGATACAGAGTCCGAGAAAGACGATGAGAGACTAGAAACGAAGCATGGTCCGACGATCGATACGAACACGAATAGCTAAATCAGCAAAAAGGGGCTCCCACGCAACGCCCCGGACACCAGGTCGATATATCGACCCAATCAATATATCAATATCGGGGACCAACCCATAGTTCCCCATCCATAATACAGACAATTACTATAGGTTAAATTAAGTTACTTAGATTTAAGATATTATTCTCATATTCATTTCAACAGCACCAGTAATACAGTAGGCCAAAAAGCCTTTCACAACCAAACGCATTCCAAAATACGGCCGCTGACTCCGCCGCATACTGGTCAGAGAAAGCAGGAAAAGACGAACAAACACTGGTATACAAGATATAACAGAAATGAATTAACCGACTTCTCCGGCTCGCTCCCACCACTGTGCGATGAAAATCATGGTCCGGGTATAAAGAGAGAAGTGAGAAACAGCCTTTCGATTTCAACCCATGTGGATCTCGCAGCCTACCTAACGACTGTGAAAATGCTGAAAAACGCATTCCACGCACGAACAGCACCGATCCTTCTCCACCGACTAAATCAAGGCATAAACACCTCTCTCTCTCTCTCACACGACTACGATCAAGAACTACAAAACGCCTGCATGAGCGGTTGAAGTTACAGCAGAGAGGCATTGAGGAACGAACGGGCAACGCCATTACAAAACAGTGGCACTATTCCTTCACGTCAGTTGACCTTTCGTTACTCCATGCCTCTCCGGAACATCATAAACTAAACCAAATTAGTTCCGGAAACTAATTCCATAATAGTCCGTAGTTTAAGCGTTAAAAATTACTAGATATGATGAATTTTAACAAAAAGTTACATAGAGTACAACTCAGTCATATCTGGATTCCAGTGGGATATCCACCCATTTTTTTCTTTTTTTTTCTCTCTCTCTCTTCCCTCACTTTCCATTTACGTAACATTCAGACCGAACGTGCAAATAGATTAATTTGCATTAAACACTTTTAAAGCACGAATCATGCGAACAATCCATTAGAATTAAGAAGGTGTAGGGTAGCAAGTAAAAAAAATGTATTAGAATTAAAAAAGGTTAAAGGTAGTATGTAGAAGAAATTTTTTTTTAGGAGGTCGCTCACTTCGCCTGAGCGACAGTTTCCAAACAACATGGAAATTTCATCACCCCCCTCCCTCACCCACAGAAATTAGGGACGACCCAATGGTTGTCATAGGGCCCAAACCCACTAACGGTCACCTACCTTCAGAACACCACAAAATTTGTCCCCGTGGACTCCAGTCGCCCGGCGCCCGAGGCAGAGGTGTATGAAATAGTAAGGTTTCTCGGACTATATGGCAGCGGCCTGTCTAGTGATGCCACCGGGCGATGTCACTACCGGACGCGACAAGCTGTGTCATGAAAACCTCGCGGATTCACCGGTCCCGCGGCGCAATATTGGCCCGCCGCTTCCAAAACCGCCGTAACTCCAATATTCCGTTATAGACAAGTCACATCATGCAATGGCTTTCAGGATCTGTCACTGAAAAATCCTGGAAACCACCACGGTAGAAACAGTTAAAAAAGGAAATGCGGCATTGAGCCCTTACCTAGTTTCAGGCTCTCTATCCGGGTCGATTCTAGTCTGCCGTGTCACATTTTGACCAATCCTCTGCAATCGCTCATCAGGAGACGAAATCCCTCTGAAAGACACGGGTGGAGTCTTACCCATAGGCGAGCGTGGATCCGGAGGTTCGGGCAAGCTCACGTACTGCCTCAGTTTGGGATGTCGCGTTGTCTCCTCTACCGTTGCCAGTTCCTGCTTCGACGCGTTGCAATGGTTCAGCTCTATCTTGTCATAGTTCTCCCGCTCGGCCGACCGGGTGGCTTTTAGCCGAACTCGGTTCTTGAAAACTAACACGTAAATGAACACGAAGAGGAGAACCACTATCAGGAGGAGCACGACGAAAAGGCCGTGGATGAGAAGGCGGCTCTGAATCAGGCTATGCTTGTCTGAAGTCGGAGCGGCTTTTATCACAGATAAATTGAGCAATGCTTGGGTCCGCCCGCCGCGGTTCTCTGCGACGCAGGCGTACTCGCCCGCGTCAGAGGCGTCCATCGAGAAGACGGTCAGGTAGCTGATGTTGTAGGCCCTGTGCAAGTCGAAGAGACGCCGGTTGACCACGCTGACGCTATTCGAGGTGCTGTTCGCGATGACCTTTCCACGCCGAGTCCATGTTATATTTGGAACAGGGTCCGCCCAAATTTCGCATTCTGTAACACGAAACTGAAATTTAGATCCTGAAAATTTTGCCCCTTGATGTTTTATGCTGAAAAGATATACAAATATTTTTTATCATTGCTTGTAAGTATTTTTACTGTATGAAGGATGTTCGGAAACGAATACCTCTCTGACAGAAGAACGACTGACTCCTTGATTTTTCCCGAACTTCTTTTTGGGCCCATAACCTGTTGTGATTCAAGAGGGTGACGGCGGGTCTGATCACCCGCGACCTCGTTGAGATCGCAACTGAACAGACACGTCCTCCACTCTAACTATCCGAACTAGTCGTTGCCGTTGGCACCGACCGGGGAACGAATAGTTAGCAGGAGTGTCGAATGGGAACAGGGAAAATCAGTAGAAAGCCGGATTTTGGATCTAAGACCCTTCTACCCAAATCAGCGAGCCCTGTGAATAATGAACCATAAATGAATAGATGAAAATCGTAGTGGTCTCTCTCGTCGGCTGGTCCTTTCAAGACTGACCAGCCGCCTCGTCACTTGAGTGTCACTTTGCAGTCGCGCCTGCGCGCTGCCGTCTTCTCTCCCCTCTCTTTCTCTGCTCGGAAGAGAGCCGCGTCACAAGAGAGACCAGACTTGGAGATGCGTATTCGCACAAAATTGAACTGCGAATAAATAGTTTAATTTTTGAACATGGTCGGTTGAGAGACTTACACATTCTTTTTAGGTATGTTGCTGTTTCTAATTCCATAAAAAGACGCTCGTCGCTCGTTTTTTTCACATATCAAATCTCATTACGAGACGCGGAAATCGGTCTCACAACAACCGCGTCCAAGAATGATTCCTCGGAATGATTTATGGCCCTTTGAATCGTACGATCATCAAGAGAACAACTACACGCCGTGCCCCGCAACTCTTTCACCGTTCTGTCTACTCAATTTATTGAACGGTCCTACTATTAATTAATCATTGACTATCAGTAATTAGTCGGTGGAACGTACCTAGCGTTACATTGGCCATTTCGTTAGCAATGTAAGTAGCGTGCAGTGGTCGGACGCGTGGTTTACAGGCGAAATCCTCCAGTTCCAGTTTGTCCCACGGCCGATGAAGCAGGCGCTGTGGAAAGTGACACGTCGGTGGGATGCTCAAGGGGATGTTCTGCTTGGCTAACCATACTCGCAGTGGCTTTATGTGGCATGTGCAGTTCCAAAAATTATTGTTCAGGTCCAGACTGTTTAGGTTGATGAGACCCGTAATCGTCGAGGCGTTTAAGTTAACAAGCTTATTGTTGTTGAGTTTCAGCACCTCTAACGTGTTTCCCAGACCTGGTGATCAAAACATCAATTGAAATAAAATACGCAAAGAGGATTAATTGAATGACCGATCCAACTCTCTCAAACTTTAAATACAGACTTTTTAAAGATTGAAATTGAGGAGAACAGGAGGTGTCTTCCTAACGCACTAAACTCTGAGCAACTGAGTAATCAAGAATGAAATGGTTTTAACGTGTATTTTACTGCGTGTGCGCCCAGTTTGAGGACCGGGCAATTTTTTTGTCCCGTCCGTGGACAAGCCATTCGCGTTGTCTACTCCACGAACTCGCTGATGTTCTTGCTCATACCTTGAACAGGACAGCCGTGGACTCGCCGTCCAAAAGTCTGAAAATTACACTGACGAACCCGGTCGTTAATTTCAAGCGACGCTAATCAACGAATTCCCCACACTGACCGGCTTCTGATAGATTACTCGCGAGATTTTGAACTAAACTTAAAAATATCATGACAATTTATCATACAAATTGTACATCTTTTTCTTTTTGCCCTATAACGGAATATTGGAGCCCCGTGTCTTAGAAGCGATGGGGACTGCATCAATCCAGCTGGTAAGGAGTTGCTGCATTTGGTAGCTTGGCATGTTGTACAACTTTTAACCCATGCTTTTACGTCCTTTAACCAGTCTTTCCAGTAATATCGGGTCTTTATCGCGGCCGCTGTCTTGAAAATTCCGGGGTGCGCGCTAGTGATGCCGTCGTACAAAAAGTATCGCGCCGCAAAATCAGTCAAACCACGAGGTTTTTAATGATGCAGCAGAGAGGTTTCCGCCAGACACGGCCATTGTCAGATAGCCCGAGGAATCTCTCTATTTCGTACATCCCTACCTCGGGCGTCGGGCGACCGAAATCCACTGAACGGCGACCTAGCCAGTCCTTTTTCTGAATTTCAGAGCCTAGGACGGATGTGACATGAAAAATCAGAAGGTTTTTGGCTAGCGAACCGTGGGAAATGACGCTAAGTTCGCAAGTCTGAAGACCCTCGGGGACCCCGCTGAAGCCTCCTGAAGTCAGTCGTTTCGCTCCCTCAGCCAGCGTCTCCTCGCGGATTTTCGACTTGGCGTCTCACCCCCGGTAGGCGGACTGCTAGAAATTCGTGGTGTTCAATGCACCGTTTTTCCGGATTGTTGGCGAATTTTCCGCGTTGGCGTTAGCTCAGAGTGTCTCAGGATCTAAATATTGCCGGAGTCTTTCTACTTTAGTCACCCGGAGCTTTGGGTTTTTCTGGGAGCCAAAAATCATTTCATATACTGAGTTGGTTATTTTTCTCATGATTTTATATGGGCCGCGGTTGTGAGTTGTCAGCGTTTTCATGAGTCCCGGCTTAATTACTAGAAAAAATACCAAGGCTTTGCCTCCTACGTCTACTCCACGTGTTTTCTTCTCATATTATGGCTTTTTCTTTGTTTTTCTTGCGATTTTAGTATGTTTACCATTGCTTTACTGCAAGTTTCCCTCGTTTCTTCGATCCTTTTTGATATTGGAATGCCCATAGGTTCTGTTTGTAGTGGAAAATCCGCTGGGAAAGTACTTTCTACACCGAAAAGTAGGTGATGCGGGCTGTATCCTGTTGAACAGTGTACTTGGTTGTTCAATGCTGCTACTGCTAGTGAAACGGCTACAACTCTAGGGACCAGATGGGATGCCCTAAATTTTAGCCAAAAATTCTCGTTTCTCAGTTGTCAGGAGAAACATAAAAAAAAGGGGGGGGGCGATTTCTCCACCACTTGAGGTAGGAATAAAGAAGGCCTCAAGCCCTCCTTGAATTAGCGAAGATTTTTAGTTGCCAGTGTGGCGACCAAAAAAAAAAGAAAAGAAAGAAAAAAAAGATAATATCCCCCTCTGGAGGACAGAGAGATCTAGGGGAGAAAAAGGGAGTAGTGAAGAGAAAGATGATGAACAAACGCTGACTGGCCAGACCAGTCAAGATACGGCCAGACCGTACCTCTTGCGTTTCTTCGGAAAAGAATGGAAACCATCCTTAGGGCTGACTGGCCAGACCAGTCAAGATACGGCCAGACCGTACCTCTTTCCCTAAGGAAAAGGTGGATAGTCGTGAAGGAGAAACTTTTGAAAGGGGATGATTGGCCAGACCAATCAAGACAACAGCCAGACTGCGCCTCTTTCTCCTTTCAAAGAGCGAAAGAATGGAAAAATCCCTTGGGGCTGACTGGCCAGACCGTGCCTCTTGCCCTGAGGAAAAGGTGAATAGATAAGAGCAGTAAAGGTAAGGGACTAGAAGCGGACTGGCCAGACCAACCAAGACAACGGCCAGACCGTGCCTCTTGCTTTTAGTCAAAAGAGAGGGAAAGAGAGAAAAAAAAGAACTATGGGAAGAGTCAGAATGAACAAAGTGAAAGAGACTTGATGTGTGTGAACTAAATAAATATTGTATTCAAAAGATACAGGGGGAGCTAGATAAAACTTGACAGTGGAGAACAAAAAAAGAAGAGAAGACTAGAATAAAAAAAAGATAGGAAAAATAACGACCAATAAAGGAGGGGTAAAACTAACCGTTGAAGGCGATAGTGAAACCAAGAAAAATCTACTAAGTCCTACGCAGACAAAATCAACCAACGTATCCGACGTAACCGACCAAATCCTACAAAACCAGCTCCGACTCTCACGGACGCTCCTTTCAATCTCGATCGTCAAATCCTACGAAGAAAAACCTATCCCGAGGTCGAGCACCGTGCGCCACGGAAGCTCTCGCCCACCTAGATCTGCAGTCGCGACCGGGGATCCTCGTCGCCTCCGGAGCGCCGCGGGCCAGCAGTGGGGGATGCTGAATCAGCGCACTGTCCCTGCCGCCGGGAAAACAAGTGTTTCTAGCTGTAAAAAAGGACAGATGCGATGTTATCTCTCGCTCTGGCCCGAGACGCTACGGAAACTCTCGAGCTGACTTCCCTGGACATCACAACAGACTCAAGAGCTGAATTGTACACGGAAAATGACACTTAAAATTTCAAACCTGGCCTGTGGGTTTCGGGTCTAAAATATTCCTTCAGTGCCGGCCGCCAACTGGATTGTATCGATTAGAGAAGAAGGTGGGAGAGAGAGAGGTTACCGGAAACAACAAAGAAAAAGGAACGAGAGACGTACACTTGAAGTCACAGCTGGGCCACTCTAATTTATTCGTAGCAAACCAAAGAAATTTGTACACGACACTAACACAATTTTGACAATAAAAAATGGCAAGGTAGTTCAACACGAACGGAGCAAGACGTCCGATTTTAGCCCGGATTTAGTTTATCTTTATCGAAATTTTCGATGAACAAAAAAAAAGAAAAAAAATAGAAAAGGATATTAAACATAAAAAAAATAAAACCACGACACACCAAACAAGACTACACGACAAACGAAAACAACCTAAAACACGATCACGCACGCCGGCCGAGTCGGAACTTTTGGTAACGTGGGCAGGACTGGGCAATTGCCTCTGACACCTTCCTCTTACGCTTAGAAAAACACGACTAACTTCAGAAATGATGTTTAGACGCTACCCTGGGCAAGAGATGCCAGGGAAGCGTCGGTTCCCATGGGAAAATGCTGGGGAAAATTCTGAAGCAGCAAAAATTCAGACTCCAAACTACGCTTTCCAAGAATTGCCGGACAGACAGTGTCATGGGTCGCAGCCAAATTCATCAGAGTCCCGCAAAATTCTCAGAGATTCTCTCCGGAACAGTGCGGGCCCCTGACCGATTTGGCAGCTTCGCGTGTCTGCCGGAAACCGATGGGAACGTGGTTCTTGAGCAGTTTTCTCAAAACGCATGAAAATGCAAGGCAAGCGGCTGCAATGCATCCGCTTGACCTGCTCTGTCGACGTCCCATCTCCCAGTTTCCGCCGTTAGCGTGAGAAAATATTCGCGGCGCTGCCCGAGGAAAACTTTGAATCCCGAAGAAATTCAAAGCTTCTCCCGGGCCGCGCCGCGAATTAAGGGCTGAGAATTAGGGGCCCAAAGGCAAAATGACCGTTTCACTAGTGGTAGAGTCTCGTCCCAGTTATTCTGGTCGGTGCTAATTTATTGTTAAGATAATATGAATATGTTAAAAAAAATGAACTTAGATTTTAAAAGGTTAGATGGTGATTATCCGAAATGAAAAAGAAGCACAATATGGAACAAACAAAAGAGGAACGGAAATATCAGAAAAAAGCAAGTCCTACAATTTAAAACCATTGTACTTGGTCTTTAACTGATTTAACCTGGCATGTTAGAAGTGAATGGCAATGTACGGACAGGCAAAATTGGCGCCGAAATACACACAAATACCAGGTAGGGCCAGTGGCTCCTTTCAAAAACACTTGACTGACTTGACACGGCTTAGTTGGGCAATTAGCTCCAACTTAGCTGAGGCCTTTCCGCGATTCCTGTTGCCGTTGACTATACGGAAGATCGAGCTAGACTGGCCGCGGGGAGACCTCTTCTGCTGAATTTTCCGGGATCCTGGAAGCTTACTTTGGTTCGGTTCCCGCGGGGCCGCTACATGTGTCAGCGAATTCGGTGACATATGCAACAGCTCCATGAAAAACGACGCTTCTACAAGTGAGAAAATTCGCAGAAGTCACCATCCCGCGGCCACCCATGAGGTTTACACTGAAANGTTGACTATACGGAAGATTGAGCTAGACTGGCCGCGGGGAGACCTCTTCTGCTGAATTTTCCGGGATCCTGGAAGCTTACTTTGGTTCGGTTCCCGCGGGGCCGCTACATGTGTCAGCGAATTCGGTGACATATGCAACAGCTCCATGAAAAACGACGCTTCTACAAGTGAGAAAATTCGCAGAAGTCACCATCCCGCGGCCACCCATGAGGTTTACGGTTTCCTCGCCTGGCCATTGCTCCCATCCAGCCTACCGCATCAGCTCAGTACACACCGACAAAACCCATAATATAACGCGCTCAGCTCTCGGGCCAAGCAGCTGAACACGCTGGGGTGGGATCGCAGATGATGGGGGCGGTATCCACCAGATAGGGTAGTCCTAGAAAAGGGGGGATGGTGTAGGGGGGTGTAAGAGCCCTATCACTCTAATGATTGGTCACCTACCTCTAGAATGTATCCTAATATCCTAAGGAAAGAAGGAACACACGTATAGGAGATGGCCGCTCGATGTATTGGGGCGTAAAAATACGATAACAATGGTACTTGATAACGATGGTATACAATGATAAAACAACTACTAGGTCACACAGACCACAAAACAGAAACACACTACAACAAAAAGGGGAGGGGTCTCCAAGCAGGAAGAGCCGTCGGGGATGCAGCCGCTGGACGAGTCTTTCGGCGAGGGGAGGGATACTCAACTGCTCAAACTAAGGGTAGAGACGCGAATTTGGGGCGAATTGAGGAGCCAAGGAGCTCGGGAAGAAAGTAAAAGACCGCTGAGTCGAGAGAGGGGTCGGGGATGCAGCCGCTGGACCGAACTTTCGACCGAGGGTTACTCGTGGACCTGACTAGGGGTAGAGACGCGTAGTCGAAAAATCCGCGAGGAGGCGAATGAAGAGGTAGCGAGACGACTGACTTCAGAGGATTTCAGAGGGCTCCTCGTGGGTCTCCGGGCTTGCTAACTTGGCGTCATTTCCCACGGTTAGCTCGCCAAAATCCCCTGAAGAATAGAAGATGATCCCAATCTAAAAGGACTCAAAATCAGATCCAAAAGAGGATTCCCCCTCTTAGCTCTAGGCACAATCGCAGCCGGAACCTCTATTACTACTGCAGCAACGGTAGTCTGGTCAAAACTGAAATTCGATGACGTCAACGGAAAAATCGAGGAATCGAGGGACAAAATGGGTAAAAAAACTGAATATCTAGAGCGAGTGATAATACAAAATGATCAAAAACAAATACAATCTTTCACGGCAATTTTGAGAGAACTAAGACATGTAACGGGACTGATGACACAAAACATGTGCAAACTGGAAAACGCCACAAGATTACTCTTTTTAGAAACACAAATGCTTATGGAGTATGACGAAATACTGAACGCACTGAAATACAAAACATTATCCGCCAAAATTATACCCCCAACGCAAATATCCGAACTAATCAAAAAACACCGGCCCTACACAACAGTTTATACGTACAAGCCCCCTTCCTAATGTATTTAACAGCCGAAATCTCTTTTGATCTAGAGGAAATTAAACAATCAGACGGGTCAATTTTACGAGGAATAATAAATGTTCTGTAATTAATCAGACAAGAACAAGTGAGCGTCGAAGTAATTGCGAAAAAAGAGGGTGGAAAATTGCAAATCTTCAAACCGGTGTATGTTGCTCAGGGTTCTAAACTATCAGTGGAAAAGTGCAAAGAAAATCCGGACTTCTACTTATGTCCTGAAGCAGTATGACGTCAATAAAACCGAAAGAACTCACCACTCCCCTGCATTATGATAACGGATTAGTAATCTTGAATAACGGACAGGAAGCATCTGTAACACAAACCAACTTGGGCCCAAAAATAACCATCAAGGGACCCGCCGTGTGCTCGCAAGACGACGCCCATACGATAATTCACGACAACAGACTTGTTTTCACTCACTCCACTTTATTCCACGTAAAACACAAAAGCACCGAACTTCACTTGGCCCCGTACGATATAACTTTCAAAATAGATGAAAATGAAAACAAGAAATTACAAGAGCAAATAAACTGGATCGAATCCCAAACCTCGTTGAAACACACATCACACTACTCTCTTGCCATCCTAATAATTGTAATAACCGCCATTGCCTTCTTTATATTTTTCCAAAAACAAAAACAACAAGTGAGAATAATTAAAAATATACAAAAAGAAGAAATCCCATTACAAGTGATCGTAGTACTTGAAGGGGCTGACGGAATAGGAAGAGCAAGACGCTTGATCAGTGACTCCTAAAGCACCCCCCCCCCTTTTTCTTTTCTCACCTCTCTTCCTCTAATCAAAACAAAACCAGTAAATTCACCCGCCCTTAGCACCAACCGATGCTTCGACCGCCAGTCATAGTAAAAATAGCAAATTACCATTAAAAAAAAAAAAAAAAAAGGATAATAAAAACAGAAATTCTTACCTGATTCAAAAAATAAAACTATAACCTAACACTACGACGAAAAACTATAAACTAACACTAAAAACTAAAAAAACCGAGGCACCTTTGGGTACGCGATTACCATTGGGTAGGCGGTGGAAGGTGTGGTACCTCAAGGAGCCATACGAAAAGTTCTTCCTGGTCCCCGGTTTCCCATTCAACTATAAATCGTAACAGTTCGCGGCCAACCCGCCCATCCCTATTAGGATCACCGCCTGCTCGGCCGTACTGAACTTCCCGTACAAAGCGGTCTAAAAGTCCGTGACACATCTCCTCAAGATACGCTCATACGATAATTCACAATAACAGACTTGTTTTTACTCACTCCACTTTATTTCACGTAAAACACAAAAATACCGAACTTCACTTGGCCCCGTACGATATAACTTTTAAAATAGATGAAAACGAAAACGAAAATTTAAAAGAGCAAATAAACTGGATCGAATCTCAAACCTCGTTAAAACTCACATCTCACTACTCTCTCGCTATTCTAATAATCGTGATAACTGCCATTGCTTTCCTGGTATTTTTTCAAAAAACAAAAAGAACAAGTGAGAATTATCCAAAGCATAAAAAGAGAAGAAATCCCACTGAAAGAAATAGTCGTAATTGAGGGAACCGACGGCATAGGAAGAGCTAGACGCTTGATCAGTGACTCTAAAGTCCCCCCCCCTCTCTAATCAAAACGAACAATCAAAACCAGTAAATCCACCCTTCCTGCGCACCAGTTGATGATTCGACCGGAGGTCAAAAAAAAACCAGCAAATTACCACAGTTAAAAATAAAAATAAAAAAAAAAAATTACCTGTCACTGTAGAAGAAACAACGGGAGCACGTGACTTAATGAAACTGAACGTAATTTAAAACTTAAAAACTTAAATGTACCTACACTAAAACTACGATATTTACAAGTTGGACAAAAGAAATTTAAATCCCGACCAATCCAACATAGATCACCTCTTGACCCTGGGGAGCGAGCTCCACCACGAATCGCAGGGCCGCATCGAACTCCTCTGACGACACGAGGATAACTTCCGTAATTACGCCGTCGACCACGACATCAGCCCGACACCAACTCAAAAGCCTAGACACGAAGTCTGGCAAACACTCCCTAACAAAATAGATTATTAGTTCATCTCGCCCGTTGTATGCGATACCGAAATAATGCGGGTTTACCCCCGTGAGGGTAAGCATTAGAAACCGTTCTACTTCACGGCACGCACGACCTGGCCCGAAAAACCTACCCGGCGCCTCCACCACTTATAACGCGCTCAGCTCTCGAGCCAAGCAGCTGAACACGTAGGGGATGGTCGTAGAATGGGGGCGTCCACCAGAAAGGGAAAATCTAGAAAAGGGAGATGATCTAGAGGGGATGTAAGAGCCCTTTCACCTTAAATAAATGGTCACCTACCTCGAGAATGTATCCTAGTATCCTAGGGAAAGGAGGAACACATAAACTAGGGGGTGGCCACTCTTGTATTGGGGTGTAATATACAACGGTATAATAATAACAAGTGCCAAACAGGCTACAACTACTAAAACTCGATCTTACAAAACCACACAGGTACACACAGATAACAAACTCACACAGAACAACTCTAACAACTAGGGGTCACTTCGCTGCCGGTAGGGACCGGGGGACGTACCGCATTCGGGCTACTCAACAGGGAAGGCACCACGGAATGGGCGCAGGATTCGACAAGGCCGAGGTTTCCGGGTGGAGCACACGGGCAAGGAGGCAAACGCGACTAACTTCAGGAGGCATCAGCGGGGTCCTCGTGGGTCCCTAGGCTTGCGAACTTAGCGTCATTTCCCACGGTTCGCTCGCCAAAAACCTCCTGACTTTGCATGTAACATCCGTCGTAGGCTCCGAAATCCAGGAAAGAGGACTGGCTGTCGCCGTTTCGTGGGTTTCGGAGCCCGACGCCCGAGGTAGAGATGTACGAAATAGAGAGATTCCTCGGGCTATCTGACAACGGCCGTGTCTGGCGATGTCACCACGCGAGTGTCCACCGGAAACCTCTCTGCTGCATCATGAAAAACCTCGTGGTTCGACTGATTTTCCGGGAGCGATGCCAGCCCAATGCTTTCAAGACGCGGCGCTTCAATATTCCGTTATACCTAGCCAAGCCCGGCATATCCCCTGACGTGCAATATACAACATTAGCTCATTCACACGTACGTACCCGATGCACACGTACGACATACGGATGTGCGTATTGTATGTTGAAAATTGAAGGCGCTTTTGATATTCCCACCTCCTCAGAAATTCATGGGAGCTATCGTTAGTAGTAGCACACAAATTTCAGAGTGCCTGTAGAGAAATTATAGGTATACCTCACCTCAATCTTTACTACAAAGAAAGCGCCACTCCATGATTGGTCAACAAATTCCAGACTTCTATGAAGTTTCTGATTTCTTACTTCTGAAAGAATTTGTGAACAAAATTTGATAAATATTTTCGCCGAGAATCATCTTTTTTCTGTTATATTTATTCATCTCTCATAACGCATATCAAAAGATTATTACTCATTTATCCTGTTAACCAACTATTTATTCGATCCTCTTACCTGAGAAAGCATCGAGTTCAATGTAGTTTATCCTGCACCCAGACATTTCAAGCTCAACCAGCTGAGGGACGTGTGCGAAGGTATTTGACTTGAGGCGCGCTATGGAGTTTCCGGAGAGTCGGAGCTCACGGAGCTCTGGAATGAATTCGAAGCTGGCAGAAGGTACAAAGGTCAGCAGGTTATGAGTGAGATCCAGCTCGACCAAGTTGATCAACCGATAGAAGGCAAATCGGTCGATGGACTTGAGCTTACATTTGGCCAGGTGTAGCTTCTGCAGATTTATCAGGTTCAGGAGGTAGAATTCGTGTTTGTTCAAAGTCCGGATGAAGTTACCTAAAGAAAAAATACAATAAAAACTGACAGGTTCTTTGAAAGTATTGCATGAAATGGCGACTGCTGTCTATAAAAGTATATCTGGCAAATTAGATATTTTTTTTTCTCTCTTTATTCAATCCACCATCGAATCGGATGCAAAATGTCTCAATAGATACCAAAACCTCGGTTTTTTGGCGTATACTCGAGTATCATTTCTAGCTTACTTTTTATAATTCTGTTTTTACTTGGACGTATTCATCCTAAAAGGAACTATGTGCATAGGATTTTTACCTAAAATAAAATAAAATAAAAACCTATCGGTTCTTTAAAGTATCGCATGAAATGGTGACTGCGGTCTTTGAAAGACCATGTGGCAAATTATATATTTTTTTTTCTCCCTCTCTTTTTTCAATCCATCATCGAGTCAGATTCAACATTTTTCAGTAGACACCGGAACCTCAGTTTTTTGAAGTATACTCTAGTATAATTTCCAAATTACTTTTTATAATCCCGTTATTATTTGGATGTATTTATCCTATAAGGAACAATGTGCATGCATCGGGTTTACGTGCAAAATTTTCCTTAAACATATACGTATGCATCCATTTTTGAAACTCATTCCTGTAAGATTCACGAAATTTCAATACGTATAGAGAGGTGACAGACGAATTTTATTCTGATAGGAAAACCATACATTCCAAAATGTTTCTTGTTGTTGACGAGAATTGAGGTCTGATTGACAAACATCATCGGATCTGTAGACAGATTTTTTATTCCCACTATACAAATGTTTACGATTGGACCGGCTACATCATCGCTCATACGCTAAAAGACATCCTCGACTGACGCAGCGGAGCGGGTAGCAACCGTCCGAAGACGAAATATGCTGATGCATATGAAAGTGCAAGTGCAGTGTGCACATGGTTGTGCAATGGTCCGAATTAAACATATGTCCTGGCAATTTTCGCTGTTACTATATCGGCGCGAGTAGATTTAACCACGTAAAAGTTCATCGTTCATAGTATCAATGCTAAAAACACGCTAGAGTTTTCGTAATAAATATTTATCGTGACTTTTCGAAGTTATGTTACGAAAAAGAGGAAAAAAATATTATTTAATTGCTGTTATCAAGCTTAACCAGGGCCGGATTTACCTACTTACCGCCCGTGGGCCGCCTGTATTTTGCCGCCCCCTTCTCATTCGTTTTGAAATACCAATAAAAACCATCAAATGAACGTGCCAGCGGGGGAGAGGTACATAAGACGCGTTTACTTGTGTTGAACACAATTTTTGGTCCTGTCAGCACTACTAGCAAAAGTTTACAGAACTTTCCGCGAAAGTTAGTCTCGTAAACCTATCTCTGTGGGGATAAGGTCTTCCATTCATAAGAACTGAACGAAAATATTATGAAAGAACAAACATAAATGTGGATTAATGATTTTAACTTCAGCCGCCGCGCCGCGCCGCGCAGACCGCACCGTGTTTGGCGCAATGCGTGAAGTATTCCGACAGTCTTGTAGGCGCTATGACTTTCCCGCCGACCGCTGCTGAACGCACTGTGTTTGACGCAATGCGTGAAGTATTCACGCAGTCTTGTAGGGGCTAATATGTGTTACATGCCTATCGCCGCGCAGCGCCGAGGGCTTCTCCTTTTCATCTAAAGTCCTCGTCATCATTTCTCTCTAAGTCGCGTCGTTCCAGGCCAAATTGCGTGTTTGGTTTCTCTCTCAACTCGACTAATTAAAGGTGCTGTCTCTTGTATCACTGAAAGACGGCAAAAGAAAAAATAACTACACTCTCAGAAATTTAGAGATTTTGTCGAGACTTTTTCTCGTTCGTAATTTTTTTTTTTCTAAATTCGAATTTTCTGTACGTAAATTTCAAAAAATTTCAAAATTTGCCGCCCCATATAGATCTGCCGCCACGGGCCGCGGCCCATGTGGCCACCCCCTTAATCCGGCCCTGAGCTTAACCATAATTTTACACTCTCAATCTCCTACCTGTCAAATCGAGCACCTGCGTGGATGACTCAATATTGCGAGGAACGATCGTGAGATTCAGGTTGGCGCAGATAACCGTCTCTTTGCCTGACTTCCATTTGCACTCGCAGTAGCTTGGACAGTGAGCGCCGTTATTCGCGAAGCAACAAACGAGGAGGAACAGGACTCGGAAGTGGGCAGCGCCGGATAGTCTCAACTTGAAGTGATTTGATTGGTGGGCAGAGGCGGAAGCGGATAGCAGCGTTCTATGCCTTGTCTCCGCGGAACATGGCATCGCGAGCGAAGACCGTCCTCCAAGCGTTTAGATCATGGCTCTCCAGAATACCTCGCGTGCTCTCGTCCAAATGGAGTCTCTCGCTTGGATACCTTCAGTTTTTCGGGTGGCATCATCTGTAAAAAGAAAAAATCGTTAGAGCAAAAAGCAAATTGCAAATTGGACCGCACCGAGCGAAAAGGAACCAGCGCGAGTGCAGTGTTGTGCAAATGTTGTTTTTTCATAAATGGACCGGAAAGAAAAACACATTGGATCTAGAGTCCGGACTCTTGAAAACATTGAAAAGAAAAAATACTCTTGATTTAATCAGATTTTTACTTAAATCAAAAGGAAATCCGCTCAAATTATGAGGCTTGGTTCTTGATTTAAGGAAAAATCCGATTGAATCAAGAGTACTTTTTTCTTGTCGATGTTTTTAAGAGTCTGGACTCTAGATCCAATGTGGTTTTTTTTTCCAGTGTATGCTTCCTTCACATTTGGACCGAGTTTAGAAGAAAGGAACCAACTCGAATAAAGTTGAAACTGGTCGGTTTCTTTCTGATAAACTCGGTCCATTTGAGCTCCATGTATTAGTTCAAAACAACGTCGAAAAAACAAACGGAGCGCGGCACAGGTGGGCGCTCGACTAGGAACGAAACGGGCAGGAAAAAGGACCCTCGTTCGGGCATAAAAGCACGTAGCACGACGCGGAGTTTGGGAAGGCTTAAATTCGTGGTGCTCTGAAAAGCGCGTGTTAATTTTTTTTTCCAGTGTGGACTACATTTTGCGATTTGGAACTAAAAATTCTCGTCCGGTTTAAAAACAACGTATGTGCCATTAGTTTCGCTATGCACACAAGTTTTTTTTCCCAGAAGAGCCAGAATTTATAGTTCAAAATTGCAAAATGCAGTCCAATTATCCTGTGAATCTCCCAGAATAGCAAAACGTTTTCACTTCTTCTCACCAAAAAATTTAGAATTTTAAAGGAAAATAATTGTGTAAATTTTAATACCGTACACATACTAAGTGATTTTAAAAGAAAAGAAAAAGTTGCACGATTTTGAAAACACTGTGATTGCGCTGGTTCCCTCTTGCCAAAAGTGATCCAATTCATCATGGTCCTGAAAATTCTCCAGAAAACATAATTGAATCGTAGGTTAAAAATAATGTAATTCATCCATTCGTCGCTTTATTATTTCAGAACTTTGAAATTTAGAACGGGCCGATATACCGATTTCGCAGTTTTTCGCGTAATACATATAATGTGTTTAAGTCTTTCTTCGAATCACCGATTCGCATCGGTGATTAACTCAACCCACGAAGGATCTCGACCTCTGAGTTGGGTCAGGCGCCTTGATGCGACTATTCGTGTTCCAAGGATGTGCGGGTTGCATGCTCAAAATTGAAGGCGTTTTCCCTTTTCTCACTTCTTCAGAGGTGCACGGACTACACCATAAAACGGCCTCGCGGAGCACCGTCAGTACCTCCGCCCACCCCCGCCCAGTTCCTCGAAAATCGGCTGGAAACATTGTTTTGAAACTAGCTACGGAACTTTAAAAAGAAAACAGAAACTTTGAGAAACGCCTCAAGTTAAAGATATTACACAAGAAAGCTAAAGCTCACCTAAACTAGTTACAAAAACATAGAATTCCCGAGTAGTATCCGGCTTCCCCCGTTGACTTGGTCCACTGAGCGACACGAAAAAAATCCTTATATCGTAAATAATCAATTAATAATTAAAATCAATATCCAAAGCTTATCACGAAAGTGAGCTATGGATAAAAGGGATAACCTTTAAAAAAAAAAGAGAGAAAGAAAATAAATCGAAAAATATAAACAAGAGCACCGTGTGTATTAACACAAAACATAACACACAATTTTTCACACTGGGCCAATTTTTTTTTCTCATCGAAGATCAGGGCTCCCACGCAAAAGCAGGTAAACAGCCTCGGGACAGCCCGCGTCCGGTGGGCCGAGACGGCGGCTGAGACATTCCGTAGGCACGGGCCAAAACCCGGGGGTCCCGGCTAGAGGCGGAAACGACAAAGGGGGGCGGCGGATTCGCGCTGGACCCCCCTGGCCTGGCCTGGACGACTGGATCAGATGGTGGTAGAGGCCATGCAGTGGTCGGTTTCCGCAACGGGACCAAGAGGTGATAACTAATAGGCTCTGCTCCACTGGTAGCAACAACAATGATATATTCACAATTAGGACAGGAAACACACTTAGGAGGAACGAAGGG